GCTGCAGCTGCCCCTGTCCCTGCTCAGGCATGGCTGGCGAGCACCGGCTCTTGCTGCGCAACGCCCAACAGCTGGTGCTGGTCTGCACCGAGGGCGAGAAGTACCTGCTGCAGGCGGGCATGCACAGCCTGGCCTTGCTCAGAAAAGCCAGCCTGGTGATCGGCACGTAAGTGTGCGGCGTGTGCACCTGTCTGCCTGCGCGGCTACAAGTCTCAGAGGGGGGGCCCTTGCTGCGCACCGCCCAACAGCTGGTGCTGGTCTGCACCGAGGGCGAGAAGTACCTGCTGCAGGCGGGCATGCACAGCCTGGCCGTGCTCAGTAACGCCAGCCTGGTGATCGGCACGTAAGTGTGCGGCGTGTGCACCTGTCTGCCTGCGCGGCTACAAGTCTCAGAGGGGGGGCCAGTTAGAGACTTAACAAATCTAAACTAATCTGATCTAATCTTATCTGTCCATCCCCACACACCCCATCCAGCTCTCTCTCTCTCAAGATCAGCTCATCTGAAGAAGTGGGTTTTGCCCATTAAAGCTCATGGTACTATACAATAGATTCTATCTATGTATGTCTCTAAGGCTATGTCTAGACTACAGGGGTTTTCCCCGGGAACGGGAACGCGTCTGCTTTTCCGACTTTTTTTGTGGGAGAAGAGCAGACAAGCTCTTTTGGAAGCCCTGTCTTCCTTGTGCCACGAGGAAAAAGGGTTCTTCTGAAAGAGGAGTTTTTTTCCAAAATTTGACCCAGTATAGACAGGGCAAATTTCAGAAAAGCCTCTTCCAACAAAACTATCGGAAAAAGGTACGCAAATTGCAGAGTGCAATTTACGTACCTTTTTCCAATAAAAAGTGGCAGTGTAGACATAGCCTAAGGTGCCACTGGATTACAGTCTGTCTGCCCCGAGCAGGGCTAGACCCCATTCCAGCTCTCTCCCAGCCATGGGGCATCTGCTCTCTTTTCTCCTCAGAGCTTAACAAAATAGAACCTGTTGCATACAGCTGTTCATTCTGTCTTTATAAAAGGCAAATTTTTCAGGTCTGCAGGCTCTCTTTTGTTGGATGCCACCTGTAATTCCTTTGAAAAGTTGTCCATTTTTATTTCAGTCCATAATAAGATATTCCCAAATGCTAATTTATTCATTGCTTGTGGCTAAAGATAAGAAAAAATACACGTGATTCTTCATGTTCCTGGATTAACTCGGGTGCCAAGAAAAGAAGCTGCAGACTGGAATCTATCATTTTTTAATCAGGGTTTCCAGTTGAGAAACAAAGTTACTTTTTTGTTTTAAAAATAGAGCTCTTGGCTTAAGTGTGCCAATAATACACATGCGACTTAGGCTATGTCTACACTACAAAGAAAAGTCAGAAAAAGAGACGCAAATCGCAATTTGCGTATCTTTTTCCACTTTTTTTTTCAAAAGAGGCTTTTCTGAGATTTGGCCCATCTTCACGGAGCCAAATTTTGGGAAAACCTCCTCTTTCAGAACATCCCTTATTCCTCATACAATGAGGAATACAGGGATGCTGGAAGAATGCGTCCACTTTTTCAGAAACTGTTCTGAAAAAGCAGATGTGTTCCTTGGACACAGCAAAGCTTTTCCAGGATACCTCTGGAATCCTGGAAAAGCTCTGCAGTGTAGGCATAACCTTAAGTTGCTGTGCCATAAAACTTCAGTGTCACAGTGCTAATGGTGAGACGTGACACACAAACTCTTTAAATGAGTATTCTGAAAAGTTATTCTGGAATCATTATATTCTTGGTAGTTACAAAATGATTTAGTCTTAGAATCTACAAAAACTTAAACAGGTAGTATCAAAGGCAGTAACGGGGGTGCGAAGAGTAGGCGGGACGCTGGCACAGCATCTGTCTGCAGCAAGGCCGTTCTTATTGATTACTCAACTATCCTATAGTCCCTGGGGGTGAGGCCGGCAGCTAGTGCGCTCTGGCCGTACTCCCGAGGCGCCCCCTGCCACTCCATGCTGCTGCTTCTGGTACAGAGGCAGCAGCACACGGTTGCAGGGGGCTCCCAAGGAGTGGGGATGGGGAGCACACTAGCTGCCAGCCCTGCTCCCAGGGAGTATTTTAGTAACCGTGTAACTGCTAAAAATTGTTGCAGCTACACAATTACTAAAATACATGATATCTAACATCCCTATTGGAAACCATAATCCCAACTATAAATACAAAATGGTGGGGTCTTATTTAGCAGTTACCATTCACAAAACAGATTTTGGAGTCATCTTAGATAACTCTCTGAAAACATCAACAGAGTGTACAGCAGCAGTCAAAAACAAAACACAAAACAAAAACAACCACCCCCCAACCTAACAAAATGATAG